GTTTGGAACTGTGCGTCCCGTGGGTTAATTTTGCATCTGGGACGCGGGACGCAGAGGTTAACGAGATGGCTGATCTCTAAACATTCTCTAAGTACTACTATTATTACCACTCCCACTAATACAACATTAATTAATTTAATACCTTCAACTTCACAATAATAATAAAAAATAATTAAATCAACCAGGATTTTAAACTATGTATTATCAATATTCATTATTCCAAACATGAGAAAGCATTCAGCAAACACAACATGAATTGAGCAAAAGGACTCCAAATCCCAACGGCCAAACCCGGAAGTGAAGTGCCGGCATTATTGACTCCAGCTGTAACGCAAATTACTTGGTTCAAACAAACATTCTAGTGCCACCGCACAAACGTGACGACTGTGCAAAAATAACTACATAAAAGACACCACTATTACAGAAAGACTTTACACGCTATTTAAACTGCCGATCGCGAACGGAACAAACCGTGATTGAAACTAACTGTGATGCCGCTCTTTATACGTTGCGCTCACTGTCACCTGTCAGTGGCAGACCCGCCCCTCTTAAAGCGCCAGCTTAATCCATCAACATGGGTTTCCCTGGATGGAATTTGTTTGATTCCTTCGTGATTTTTTGCGGTCCTCGGACCATCAACATGGCTGTGGACAAGGGATTCGAGGCTCTAATCCCTCATTGTGTCCGAGGACCGGCAACCCGAGGCCAAGGCCAAGGCCAAGGCCAAGGACTTGACTCCCAAGGCCAAGGCCAAGGCCAGGGACTTGACTCACGAGGCCAAGGCCAAGGACCAAGGACCGACCTTCGGTCCTCGAGCCGGTCCTCTAGGCCAAGGACCGGCTCGAGGAACACATCACTGACCGTATATCACGAAGGAAGTTATTGAGTGCATAAGGAGGAAGAAACAGCCCATAGGTTCGGTGACACCGCGGGGCTGATGTTGGCCCAGAAGGATCTCAACCAACAACTAAGAGCAGCACGGTCTAAACACAAAGAGCGGGCAGAGCAAGCCCTGTCCAACTCAAACACAGAGGTTGTGGGACTCAATTCGCACCATGACAAACATGGATACTAGGAAGAAGCCCCTATCGGCCCATGGTGAGAAAGCGAGGGTGGTAAGGGGCGATCCCGGGAGGATGGTTGATCGAAAAGTCGATCTAAGGTCCAAAAAGTTTGGGCACCCCTGGTGTAGAGTATATACTGTTTTGTCTTGTATGTAATTGTCCTAATTATGTTGTGTTGTGTGTGTGTTTGTTTTTGGCTCAATGTATGTAGCAGCACAGAGGGACTGTCCTCTGAGACAAGATTGGAGAAGCCTGTAATTGTCAACATGGGTAAAGCTCAACCATGAGAGACAGAATTGTTTGATTTTTAAAGAATTTATTTGCAAATTAGAGTGGAAAATAAGTATTTGGTCAGCTACAAAAAAGCAAGATTTCTGGCTGTCAAAGAGGTCTAACTTCTTCTAATGAGGTCTAAAGAGGCTCCACTCGTTAGCTGTATTAATGGCGCCTGTTTTAACGCATTATTGGTATAAAAGACACCTGTCTACAACCTCAGTCAGTCACACTCCAATCTCCACTATGGCCAAGACCAAAGAGCTGTCGAAGGACACCAGAGACAAAATTGTAGACCTGCACCGGGCTGGGAAGACTGAATCTGCACTAGGTAAAACGCTTGGTGTAAATAAATCAACTGTGGGAGCAATTATTAGAAAATGGAAGACACACAAGACCACTGATAATCAGTGGTACAGAAAACGTTTGGCCTCCGTTATTGCCAACAAAGGGTACATAACAAAGTATTGAGATGAACTTTTGGGTGCTGACCAAATACTTATTTTCCACCATGATTTGCAAATACATTCTTTAAAAATCAAACAATGTAATTTTCTGAGTTTTTTTTCCCACATTCTGTCTCATGGTTGAGCTTTACCCATGTTGACAATTACAGGCCTCTCAAATCTTTTCAAGTAGGAGAACTTGCACAAACTATTGGTGGTTGACTAAATACTTATTTGCCCCACTGTGTGTGTGTGTGTGTGTGTGTGTGTGTGTATATATATATGTATATATATATATATATATATATACATACATACATATAATGTGTGTGTGTGTGTGTGTGTGTGTGTGTATACAAGAAAGAGCAGATGAAGGCTGTTAAAAAGAAACAAGCGTCTTCAAATTTGTGTGTCTATTTTCTAAAAGGTGTTGGGTAAAATAAACCTGACACACACACACACACACACACACACACACACACACACACACACACACTGCGTTCAAAAAAGACATTAAAGACTTAAATGAAGGCTGTTACGAAAGAGTACGAAACAAGCGAGACGAACAGTGTGACCCACCTAATCTGTGAAGAACAATTCTTGGCTGCATCCTGTCAATGGCGTCTAATAGTTGACGTTGTCCCTTGTGGTCCTCTTTTTCTCCACAGAGTTCCTCCTCGTACACTGCTGTCTTTCTTGCGCACATTTTCACACGAAAATTACAACACTTTACGCTTACGATCTCTGCGGAGCTCTGTGTTGAGCACGAGCGCCTCTCCGTTAGATGCTAGCAAGCTAAACGAAGCTAAGCTAGGCCGAGACATATCGAGGTTCAACGAGACGACTTCAATCCAACACAAAGATTCAACGAAATATGTTTTAGCACAGCGAAGAGATGGTGGACGCCCCGGGTGGAGGTTTAAGCACGTTGACTACAAAATTCTGGAGGATTTTGCAGAGGGTGTTAATCCCTCCTCGCGCCCCGTTCTGGACTGCGGTCAAGTCAGCGATTGTTAATAATCTGCATTCCGGTAGTGTACCGCCAGCGAGCCAACTTCAAAATAAAAGCTATACAAATTATGCATGCTCGTTCCTGGTTTGGATTTAAACATGTCATAAAACATGTTTTAGTGGTCAGGCAACGTTGAGTTCATCCAGGGCAGGGGTCGGCAACCCAAAACGTTGAAAGAGCCACATAGTACTACAAAAAAAAACCCCAAAAACAAAAATGTCTGGAGCCGCAAAAAAATAAAAGGCTACTATAAAACTTACAATAAAGGAAACACGCTGTTTGTATGTAGGAGACTGGACTGTCTCAGAATTGTATTATTCATTCCTTTGTTGTGTGTTCACAAACGCCCCCATATAATTTATTTTGTGATTTCCTCGCTTGATTTTCTGTTTTGGTGTATTATTTTCGCTTTTCTTAGTGTCATTCAAGTGATCACTAATTTCCGTTTTTCGGAGGCTGTCTTTGACGCCTCTCGAGTCGAACAAGACGAGAGAAGGTACGGAGTCGGACGTAGACTTGTCTGCATTTGTCGAGACTGTTAAAAGCATAAATAAAGTGTAGGTTTAAAAAAAAACAAAAAACAACAACACCACAGCTTTCCCATTTTCGACGCTGAAACATGTATTTTATCTATATGAGCTATATTAGCCTACTATCAAAATGACTAAGTTTGCTACAATTACACGATGAGCCTATATGATTAAAAGTTTTTTGTTGTTCCGTGCAGTGCATTCTGGAGAGCGGGGGCGCCCAACCTTTTTTGACCGAAGACCAACCTACCGCGATCAATTCGGACATACAAAACAAAACACACTTACAGAGTCTGTAAGTGTGTTTTGTATGTCCCCTTAGGGCAGGTGTGTCAAAGTCAAATGGACGGAGGGCCAAATAAAAAATTTTGCTCCAAGCCGAGGGTCGGACTGATCGAATGTTCATTGAAAATGTTTATGACAGCATATAGTTGAGTGAACCAACTTGAACCTACTGAAAACCTAACAAATATATTCCAATATGATCAGATAATTAAAGCAACATTTTCTGATGGCTCTGTCAGTTATCTTTAATTTTCAACAGGCACTAAGGATACATTTCCTTTATTTAAAAATCCCCATAAAATGAACATTAAATGAAAGAATTATTCAAGGCACCATCAAGAGCCCCTATTTTCTCTTTTAGCAAAAGTGGGCTGAATTTACTTCAAAGAAAAAAAAAACAATAGCCATTTTGTATCATTCACTCAAATAAAATAATTTAAAAATACAATTGATTGAAATACAATAACACAAAGTGGAAAAATCTGAACCACAAACAACACTCTTCAAGGAGAAGTAACATGTAGGGAAAACAAATATTAAACTTTAAAAACTCTGAATATGTGATTGCACAGTAATGTTCACTTCTTTGGAGTTGAGGATGATACTTGGTGGTGTCTCATCTTTTCTACAAGTTCATCAATGTTCGGGGTCAGGCTCTGAGCTGAGGAAATCCTCAAAATGGGAGGTGTTCAGTAGTAAGTTGACTTCTGCGTGATGTTTTGTTCCGCTTCATCAAAGAAAATAGTTGTTTACGCAGGTATGTGCGGCCAAACATCGACAACATTTGAGCAGCCTGGATGCGCAGCGGGGCCATTATGTCGGGGAGCAAGCACCCATTGTCGTATATTTTTCATACCCTATAGTTGTGTCATGCATAGGAAGTAAAGCCAAAAACTCCTCTTCCACACTTAGGATGGAGTCCACTCCGTAGATGAAAATTGACAACTGGGCAACGTCAAAAACGTCAGTGCTCCCATCCGCAGCCAAGGAATATGCAATGACATCTTTTCCCTTTTTCACAAGCTGCTCTGTTTGATGAATGGCTGTTGGAATAAATGTGATTCTGTTATGCCATATTTACTCTCTGTGTAACTTTAAAACCTGTTTCAGAGTGATACCTCGCAAATACCTCATATACAATGGGGTAGGTTGATAATGGTAGACTTGTCGGACCGGGAGAGCTCAGGCTGCTCCTGTTCTAGCTTTTAAGACAATATCTTGTTGTTAAGTGAACGGCTTCTGGTCAAATTAACTGTTGCTTGTGAGAAGATAACATCAACCCCAGGACACTGTGTGAGGGACATCCCAAGCTGTGTACGTGGACCATCGACATCCAGCAGGAGCCGTTTGACGACATTTCAGAAATGAACTGTGTTCTCATTGAAACTCTCCTTTACTGAAACTGTTGTGGAATGTGAAAATACTCCCCACTCCCGTTAGAAGATTGTGTATTAGGGACATCCTTCCAATAAATGCAAGGAGACAAACGCGCACTCTTCAGAGTTGCCCCGGAACCTGTAACGGTTTACATTGCAGAGCCAGCTGGAGAGCTGCTTTGAGATTGTGAACCGAGACATGTTTTAGCGCGCTCTCTCTTGCAAGAAAGACAACTATGCCTGCCTCCTGAGTCTTCCTGTTCCTGATGTGTTCTTAGCATCTGATTACCAGCATTAACCTAACAATGGCCAACTGCTCTCCTCGCTTGGCAATGGTGTTTCTGTGCATGCTCACGTTTAAAAAGAGTTGCTTTTTTTCTGGGCAAACTTCGTCACAAACTTTAAACTGTGCAACTTTCGGACAATCTCGTGAAATATGACCTTTTTCACCACAACACCAACAAGTGGTGTCTTTTCTTCTTCTTCATCTGTGCTGTATGTTGCCCATAGAGCATATGTGACAATAAAGCTGGACTTGAATTTTCCGCGTGGATATTGTCTTTTGCCAAAGTTGCGGTTTTGCCCCTTAAATTTTCCTTTTCCCCGATAGTTGTCGCGATCGGCAAGAGCTCTGCAAAAGACGCCAAAAACACCTTTCTCTTTGCCTGAGAGTGTTGAATAATTTTTACGTTTTTTATTTTGCAACACTCTCTCCACATGCAAGGGTTGATTCACATACTGCTCTAGACTGCCAGTTGGTTTATCAACCCAATATTTGTTGATCCATTGTTTTAAAGCATTGTTGGAATGCGCGTGAAGAGCATTCTTTAATTGTTCTTGATACACACTGCCTGGAGTGTGATCCTCAGAAATACCGCAATTAGCTCGAAAGCAGGCATTCTAATTCGATACTCTTCAAATGGCTTGTCATATTTCTGCTTTTCCCAACCTATGGCAGTATAATTAGCTTTGCGCTTACATTTTTCTCTCGTACACTCCATCAAGCCCTGAATGCAATTTGCTAATTCCCGACTGTCATGTTCTAGGGGCGATACTCTTATGCTATGCCAATCCCCTTTCAAGGTAGTCATCCAAACTTGTTGGACTTCCACACCATGAATATGGTCTTCCATTTGTTGTAAAAAAAAAAAAAAAAAAAAATCATCAACATTAATTTTGTGAGATGTGATGCCTTCTACGGCCTTTTTCACATCCTCCTGGGTCCATGTCCTATGAACTAAGATTGTGGGTGAGTCATCATTTATATTTGGATGAGCAACATCAATCGTAGGGAATGCATCATGTTCATTATGCTGACCGTCGCAAATTTGGGATTTAACAGGAGAAAATATCTTCCCCATTGTTTTAGAGAACTCCATTCCCAATTCTCTTTTTCTCCTTGTGGCCATAGAGTGGCCCTCTGGATTCATGCGTAATGGAGCGGGAGGAATGAATTGACACGGGGGATTTAACGCAGCAGGGGGTGTTTTAGGTGATTTGTTGTATCTTCTTCCTCCTCTGTCTCCCTCCAAATCCCCCACTGGCCCCATCTCATCATCCTCCTCCCTATGCAACAGCGAAGCTTCTTCTTTCATAATCTTTTTCATTTTATCACGTTCTTTTTCTGGTCTTTAACTTTTGTCAGCACTTCTCTTTTGCGCAAGGGACATCCGAATCTCAGTATCTTTGTATCCATTTTTTTCATTTTTGGGGGGTTGGTTATTCTTTCTTTTGTCCCGTATTTTATCCCATAGCTGAGTTATATTTTGAGTGTTAAATCGGCCGCTAAACTCATATTTTGTAATCCATGAATTGAGATGTTTTATCCCAGCAGGATATCTAGATTCAACCAATTTCCAATATTTAGAGAATAGCGCTTGTTTAGGATCCTTTTCATTTGACGTCTTGCTATTCTTTTGGCCCATTTTGGTGTCAGTGATTCACCTAGGGCACCTATGTCAAAGGCAAGGCCCGCGGGCCACATCCGGCCCGCAAGAAGGTTTCCACGGCCCCTGGGATGATATTGATTGATTGTTAGAACTGGCCCGCAGACCACAGCAAGCCGGCAGCTCGCAGATCTTTTACACCAGGGGTGCCCATTACGTTGATCCTGATCTAGCGGTAGATCTAAGACAGGTCCCAAGTAGATCCGAGGAGCGTCGAGGAGAAAAAAAACAACCATTTATGTGTCTTTGTACATGTTAGTAATATATTTTTGTACATGTTAGTAATATATTTTTTTGTGTTAATGTACGCTGCACCCTAATCATCCTATCAGTCTCCGGAAGTTGTTAGCGCTCAGCAGTCTGCAATTGCAGCTTGTGATCAGAGCTGTTGCGCTCTATCCTTTATCGTCATGATTCTCATTCAGAGTTTGCTTCGTGTACAATTCACCGAGGGCACGGGCAAAGAATAGGAATCTAGGAGGGCCCAGGGAAGCACTTTAAAACTTTAAAACGGTACGTGTGAGCTACGATAGTTAACAGGCTGCAAAAGTGCATCGCATGCCTCAGTTTCAAGCTGTTTCTCATCATGGTGTGTGTGTGTGTGTGTGTGTGTGTGTGTGTGTGTGTGTGCGTGCGTGCGTGCGTGCGTGCGTGTGTGCGTGCGTGCGTGTGTGTGCGTGTGTGTGCGCGCGCGCGTGCCGGTAAGGGTAGATCCCGGGAGGTTGGTTGATCGAAAAGTAGATCTTCGGTCCAAAAAGTTTGGGCACCCCTGTTTTACACGAATGCACCAATACTACTTTTCCCACAATGCAACGGTGACGCACCAAGCAATCGGCCGCTTCATTTCATTATTTATTGGTGCAACAGTCATTAGCGTAACAGTAAATTTAACTTTCAGATACCCATCAAAAACGGCAAAACAGAAGGTAGACACCGAGAACCGGGGTTTTAAACAAAGTGGGAGTCGGAGTGCATGTTCGTGGAGGT